TTGTTATTTTTAGCAATTTTGACGGGGATTCAAAGTATTTAATATTTCACTTTATTTTTGTATAAAAAGCATTAAAATTTTTCGTGATGTCCTATAATAAAATTATTCAATCTATAATAAAATTATTTTGCGACTTAAAATACCCTGATATTAAAATGAAATTTTATTTTAGTTATAGAAATATAATCTTAGCTATGGATTGTGATCAGTGAACTGAGAAATCTCTGTACCGTCACCAATAAAAAGATTTGGCAATATCATTAATACTTACTATTGCAATTCTCATAAGTGCAATTATATTTTAGACAGGAGTTCTTTTGTGTTTTGTTAGTCATTATTATTATTATTTATATCCAGATTTTTGTTTTAAAAATCCTAATCCTTATTTATTATGCTAAATCTAAAATACCAAACAAGCTTTTTCAGCCCGATTATATGTATGACATCAAATTGTTCATCGCTATATATCCACAATTTTTATTTTAACTTCAAGAAATCATATTGAAACCGTCCAAAACTTTTTCCAATCTCTGCTGACTGTATGAGTAAAAACGAAAACGCTTAGGGACTTCCATGTGAGCCCTGGAGATAAATCACAGAGGTCGTGACTGCGGCCCAGCCTAGCCAACTTGACCCGACTTCACTCGCACATGCGACAAGGTACTTTCTATCTGGCTTGTACATAGTTTTTTTTAATATTGTCAATACTTTAATAATACTTTTAATAAACAGTCTATTTCATTTAACATAAAAGACACAATTTTAAAACGTTCCACTTCTATTTTTACCTTTGATTGATTTATCTTAAAAGCTTTTTGTTGAAGTTAGGTTTTATTTTGTTTGATATTTTAAAAACATTTCGTAGTGAAAATTAAGAACCATTTTGTTTATTTATTCTAACTATAGAAATACTTAAGTTTTTTAGGACCTGTTTAATGTGTGTTTCATATTACTGATTTATTACTAGTAAAGAGTCAATTCAAATTATAATATTGTTACGAATGCTTGAAATATAAAGTCTTACAAAAGAAAAACAAGGTTGACAGAATAAAAAAAAGGTGAAGGAATTTCTCATTTTCTCTTCATTCATTAACTCTTTGTTAAAAAAACAAGTTTCGCTAAATATCTGTAATCGGTCTGAGTTTTTATAGTGTGTATTTCGCTTTCCCCGCCAACATTTTATTGGTCCTCGGAGCCGGATTTATTATTCGAGCATAATGCTAGTAATAAACACTTGCAATCCAATCTTAATTACGTTTTAGGGTTGCGTGGTGTGTTTTATTCCAAAGTGTTTTAATTAGAGATAACAATCTTATAGACGTCGATAATTTTATCATTGCAGAACAAATTTCCTTATTAAGACATTATTGGACATAATTTTGAAGTTTTTAAATAGGTTTAAGTTTTTTATCATTTTTATTATTGAAATAAAATAAGCTTCATTGAAATAATGATAGCTCTCGAATCACTTTAACAACAACTAGCGGAAGCGAGTTTTTAATTCTCTATTCCTTCTACAAACAATTGCAGCCAATCGAAAACGCATTAAGATTTCTCGTGGACTCTTAAGACGCTTAACAAAACCCATTTGCTAGCAGTTAGGCCATTGTTTCCTCAGCTCTCAGTAGAACGAACGTCGGACGTAAAATTGTGTTTACGATTTATTTTAACGTTTGACTCTCGATTTTGATTGCAACTTGTGATGTTGACGAGCTGAACGTACTTCTCAAATTTCATGGTCAATTGTGTTTGTAAATTGATTTGTGAGTTCATTTAAATTACCGGTAGTTATAGGGGAGTTGGGAGTTTATAATAAATTATATGTATTAACAGTTACCATTCGAGCATTTTATGTCCCTGACTGCGTATAAGCCGGGTACATTTTGCCATCCAACTTAGATGTATTGCATACTTTATTCGACGTCCACACGTTTCTCCCATTTTTGTGTCGATCGGTGATGAATAGTGGCCATAATTAAGGGTTCGAAGGCATATTTCATTCATTTGTTTCTCTCACAGAATACGGGACAATTAAGGTGAAAGCAGAAAAATTGTTACGTATTGCGGATATCCATTCTCTAGTATATTTTAAGAAAAATAATACTCTAACATAAAGCACAGATAAATCTTTGACCATGATAACTTCAATATTCAATATAGTTTCCAATAACCCTTCCGATCAAACCGAAGGATAGTAAATGATAATATTCAGAAAACAATTTCTTTGTTATATTGCCAGCCTATTCCAAACAAAATATTGGCTAAAACATCAAAACGGCGAGCTATATTCCGAAGACAAATGATTCGAGAGTTGGCCGGGACACTTCAATCGCTCAACCGCATCAAGCTAAGATCTCGTGAAAAATTCCCTTCGCTCTGATGTAGTGTCGCATTAGGTGTCGCAAACTAGAATTTGAATGAGATAAATGACTCTGAGTAACGTAGGCCGTAATGGTGGCGCGGTAGCGGATATATCAAGCGAAATTGAATGTACCTCTACCATTCCTTTGCTTTATGGGGAATTATTAGCTTATACTAATAAATTTAGTTTATTATATTAAAAGTAATTAGTACACAAGAAATTTATCTACTTTCTATTTAATTTCTTAAAGGATTCTATTCCATTTACAATGTTTCATTGACTCAACACTCAAACCAAATATAAATATCAAAATAAAAGCATAACCAACCACATTAGAGCATTCACATAACTACATATAAAAAATATATATTTGTTTTGAATGAATGTAAATTCATATACCTAGATAGTGAACAACAAACTAAATTCAACTTTAGATTCGCTTTACAAAGACTGTTCACAGTCATCATTCCCGACAATGCTTTGAAAACAGTTTGTCTCGAGTATTTCGTGAACACTACGCGTATCGCTGAATGCTAGTTGTTTCAACTTTATACAAATAAACCGTTTTAGATATTCAACTTTATACTTTTATAGACTAAATAAAGTACTACATTTGTGTCTATGGGTATCACATACAAATTGTTAAATGCAGTTAATTGAAAAGATAATTTCAATTATGAAGACTTGATACATTAATCTCAAATTAAAGCACATTGAAGGTTATGAAAAAGTAATACTGTTTTGTATACTTATAAATATAGTACCATAAATAAGATTTAAAAAGTTTATACTTCAAAAATATAAATAATTTATAACTGTACCTGACGGCTCTACAATATTTAAATTAAATTAGATAAAAAATCTATATGCTTTCATAAAACTCATTGCACGAAGTTATTGAGCATAAAATCATTCTGAAACTATTTCCAGTATAACATAATCTATTTCACAATGTTAACCCTTCTATGTGGGAGACCATATTTAATGGTTTTTAGTGAGAATTAATTGAACCGAAGCGTACCATTGTATCAACATATTGGGTCCGACCTATCGGCTGCAGGTAAATTGAGATTCAGACAAATTGTTTCTCAGAATACATACTAAGTAAGACCTTAAACTTAAACGAACTTCTTGTTTAATAGTTCATTCAACACTTGTGATTGACAGATTTCTGAACCTTCTTCAATGAAATTTGATATGGATAATACATATAATTTTTAAATTAGTTTAGAAATAAAATAAAATTTATATTAAGTAAAACTAAATTAATATGTTATTGTTATGAAATTGTATTATTAATTACCCACAAAATAACATTTTTATTATATTTTATTTTAAAAAATGCAGACTATTTTTTTTCCAAAAACCAACGCTTTACGATGTTTGTCATCAACATAACACTCTTTGTTTAAAAATGAATGAAGTTTGAAGCCCTTCCGTCTCTGACCGCGGGGTATAACTGAGCACTACATACTTCAAAGTGTCTGTAAGTTACTTTGTTTTAAGCTTAAAATTTTCAAAAGGCAAAACAAAAGTTTGTTTTGTCTGGGGGTCTGCAAAATCCCGACAAAAACTGTGACATAACATAACTGTAGTGAAGACTGACTTAAAAATTCTATAGCAACACTTTAATTGTTTCCAAACTATCCACATACAATGATATTTCCAAGATGGTAAACATTTAGAAAAACAAAAACCAGCCGCCGCAAGTAAACGAGAGGAATGTAAACAAATCAAAATATTCAGCCACTTACAGAGACCGACAGAAAATGTTTACGTTCTCTGTATAACGATAAACACGACAGCAGTGTCAGGGAACTTGTGTTTGTCTTACAATTAAATTTAGTTTACACACATACATACATACATTAGAAAAAGACGTTGACATTAATATACAACAATATTTAATAATATTATTTATAAAAATAGGAGGTTCATTACTTCATATATAAATTGAACAAGGTGAATCATTATACGAATATGTCGAGCGTAAGGAATATACAAGTATATTTCAGCATGTATAACTTGTCGGTTTGACTGTACTTCATAACTCCGGAAGTAATTTAACTTGGCCCATTATCTTGACCTTACTAATTGCCCCCTCACGGTGAGATTGTTAACCATTATTATTAATATAAATAGCAATGTATGACAAATGTTCACTTTTATTAAATTTTATAAGGGCCTTTCTCTACTAACTGGAAACTTGTCTATTGACAGTTGTCCCAACCCTATTATTCTAGAAAATTAAAAATATAATATGTTAAATCTATAGATAGTTATAATATAAATACATGTAAACAAGAAACCATTGTAATTATCCCTTATTTTTCTAATTATAGGCAATTTTGTAAAAAATGGCGACAGAGGACTGTTTTGCCACCCAGAGGACTGTTTTTTCCACCCAGAGTACAGTTTATGTCAATGTTTATATGAAAAAAAACACAATATTAATTATTAAATGTAATCAAATAAATTATCTTCTTTATTGAATACTGTATCACATACAGAATTTAAATACTTATATTTATCAGGAACAAATTGCGAGCTTAGCTGTCTAAGTAACGAATTAAAATAATTATAATCAAAATTAAGCTTAGGTACTAACAATCAGTCTTGTTTACTTATCAATGCAGACTTATTTCTCAAAAACAGGTACAGGTGTATTAAAATAATAAAATATTCGTTTCCCTTTTAGGGCAATATCTGGGTTTGGCAACTTCTTTAATACTTGGTCAAAGGACACATCAGAAACATCATTTTCATCGACTCTGAATGTGTGTCCTTTGTCATCACAAATTTTTAAGAAGGTTACTGTTAGTTCGCCTTCTTCCGTGTCTATCTTATTGATTACTGCTGCATAACAATATTCAGTCTTTCTTACTAGAAATTTAACCAAGACGTAATCACCGATGGTGTAATTCTGTTGGTTGATTGAACTAGGTCCAGCCAGTGCAGCGTCGTCGTCGATCTCCATTGTGGAATCCTGTGAGTTGTCCATGTTTTCACTTTCAGAGTCTGTGTAAATATCATCTACGTTAAGTTTTGACTTGTTTTTGTACTCTAACACTCCCAAATTGAAATGCTGGCAATCGTCTTCACAAGTACAACTTAAACTTTTCATTATGAGTTTAGCGGCACATGGAGCTGATTCCAGAGGACTTCTTAATATTTCAGCCTTTACTTGATGTATTTTTAGAGTTCCATTAAAGCTTTTTAAATTAACTGTTTCATTTTGAAGGTCGTCTGTCAATTCTTGGATGGCTTTATCGTCGATTGTGAACAAGGTAATTGCGGAACATCTTCGTTGAATGGCATCTACAAATGATTCCAAGCTATCAATATCACCTCCTGTAGCGACGACGGCGTCAGCGGTTCTCTTGCAGGTCGCTCCAACGCCATCAGGGGCCCCTTTGCCATGACCACTCTCTGAATAGTTCCAGGTAAACTTCTTCACATTTGAAACCTCTTGTTGAAGCCTTGATGCCAGGATGTAAAACATCGTTTTGTTTCTGTATTGAGTTACGGGTCCATCGCTGACGAAGTGGATGCTCTTTATGTTAGGTGGGAGAGTTTTAAAGATTGGCCGCAAATGTGCCCATATAGCAGCTGGTGAATGTGTGAGATTTTTGGAAACGGTACAATAAGACTTGATAGAGTTTTTGGTATACACTACCACAGTATGAAGACTTAGCTGAAGTCTCGACCCTCCAAAATGAAATGCTTGTATTTCTTGACTGTATTTGGAACAATAATTTTCTGAAAAATCCATATGTATGATAGCGTCTTCGTCGGTAAGGTTTTGTTTGTATTTCTTGATAGCATTGTATTGATGGGTAATGTTTCTCTCGTGTTGATAATAGGCTTCCAAATCCTCGTGCAGCTCTTCTATTAGTTGTCGAGGGCGAACCGTGAACGTTTTCTTTACGTATTTGATAACTGTTCGAGCATTCTTGGTCTTGGGGTCGTTGTAAGTTTGTTTCTCAGATATCCATTTTTTAAATTCAATGGGCTTGCTGTCATCAAACTCCCTGTAGTCAGGATTCTTGTCAATACAGCGTTGGCAGGTTCGTGACAAACATAGCTCGTCATAGCGATTACAACATGTCTTTTCAAGGAGTGCAGTGTGACTATTGTAAGTCAAAATTCTTCGCCTGTGCAATGATGACAGTTTCAGATCGATGTTCGCGTGCTTTATGCACAGGCACGTGTCACGTTCGTTTACATTTGGTGTTACGACCCAGAAAGGACGTAGACGACAAAATGTTGTGTAGCTTATTTTAAAATGTTCAGCTTGAAACTTCTTGTATAAATTTGCGATGCTATCCGATAGATATCTTTTCTGTTTTTTAACCCCTTTTCTGGTCAGGCATTCACGTTTTCCTGCGCCAAGTCTGCTGTTGTCATCGTTTTCATAGAAGGTTCGTACAGTGTTTATGCAATCAGATGAAATTTTGTCTTTACGAGTCCGAAGCTTGGGTACTAAAACTGATTGACGCGCTGACTTCTGAATTGTTTTATAAGATATAAAACTATCTTTGCTTCGCCATAACTTGTACTTGTGTATTAGTTTACCGGACACGACTTTTCCGAATATTTGTTTTTCTTTGCAGGTTTTTAAATTAGTGTAGTTTTCTTTCAGCTGGGCATTCAACACTTCACCGAAAAGCGCTTTTTTGACTACTTCTCTGCGAGTTTCTGGCGAATCACACATTTTGGTAAGTTTAGTGTTAGGTGTGTCTACATTTTCCTTTGTCTTAGCTTTTTCCAAACGTTCTAATCTCTTCCTATACTTCTCGGATTTTTTTCTGTAATACTCGATCTTTTTGTCTTTATACTTTATAATTTTGTCACGTTTCTTTCTAGCATTACGCTTTCTCGCATTACTTGCATTACTTCGTGGAGTGGTCATAGGTAGTATTGATGGAGAGACAGAACTTTGAGGAGAAGGTGAACCTTCGGATTCGGGCGTATTTTGTCGTACAAAATTGTTTGTAATTTCTTTCAAAGTTTTTTTTTTTTGCACGATAGGTAGCACAGTGCTTTCTCCATTCTTTAGTCATAGCTTTGTGTTCACGTCGACTCATATCTTTAACTGACTTTCTTGTACCTTTTTCCTTCTTTCTTTGGTAGTTTCGTCGTTCTTTTTCCTTCAATTGCTCTCTTTTTACAGGGTCATTTTTTAGCCGTTGATATCTTAATCTTTCCGCAATTCGTTTCTGCTCTTTTATTTCTTCTTTAGTTTTAGGTTTCTTCTTTGGTGGCATTGCGGCAATACTAAAACAATAAAACATACTTTCGATGTTCAAAAAAACCGTAAGGGTTTAAAAACAGATAGTTACTAGGTACGTATTATTTTTTAGTCCAAAATCCATAATAATAGAAAACAAAAAACCTGAATTAGCATGACAGGCCAATGTAAGAAAGAAAGAGGCTATCGGCAAGCAGTAGATTAGTGCAGACTATAAAGAATATTAATAAAATACACGGACGTCAAATAAAACAGTCCTCTGTCACATTGAACAGTCCTCTGTGTTATAAATTTCCAGAGGACTGTTGCACAGAGGACTGTTATTTTTACGTAAAAAATGACATACCACGTATCAGTTTAAATATTATTTCATAACACAGAAACAGCTATAAATTATCACACTGAGCAATTTTTTTGTTAAATAAATATATTATAACACATAAAACACCGTAAAATAGACTTACCAGAGGAATGTTCACTCAACGCTACAGAGACGTGGCTCCCACACAGACGCGGAGTTGTAACTGCGCAAAATGGCGGCGACTTGTTTACCATGGCGACCGAGCAAACTTCACACTGTTAACGTACCGTTTCACACAAAATGTAACCACAATAGTGTTTAATATTTTTCTGGCGCGATATTCAAATTGTGACAGAGGACTGTTCAAAAATGTATGGACAAAATTCGAACACTAGTTTTTAGTACTAAAAAATTCTCTAAAATTATGATTGTTTTTTGTTTATATGCATTCAATATTCTTTATGTTCATAGAGTTATAAGATTCTACATTTTTAAATACAACTAATAAAAACTGACCCGAATCATACTCGATCCGGAATTAGGACATAACAGAGGACTGTTTTTAGTGGCTTTTAGACCGAATTTATGAAATGATTATGATTCTAAATATTGATTAAGCTTGGCTCCTTAAATAACAGGTTATATATTATGTGTTTTCATAAATAAAACTATGCATTAATATAGCCAAAGTAAAAAAAAATGCTTGGACCATGATTTTCCTGTTAGTAGAGAAAGGCCCATAAAAAGTTTATAATTATTAAGTACATAATATAATCATCGAAATTTTATCGAAAATAAAAACAAACCAGATTATAAATGTGTAATATTAATTCTATTACTAAGATTGTTTATATATATTTAACACTTAATGCGCACGTATGTATGTATGTCTGTCACAGGGCATGCTTTCAGGGACATTTTATTGACTTTCCATTGAGTTCACGCATTATCGTCTAACAGACAAACAGTCTACAAAATGCTACAATTGTTGGGACATATCGGAGAGAATAAAAGTGAGTACACCTATATAACCAAACTCATCTTCAAGGTATACTGAACCCTGTGTTCTTTGAGATGAGGTCTTGTTTAACTTGACACATCAATGAGCTGGCCAGTACTGTTCCCACGATAGAAAATTGAATGAAAACATCTATTTCGTTTGTTGAGTACGATTGGAGACGTACAAAGTCCATTCAGACTTGTATTAAAGATGACATGCTAAATTAAACTCTAGTGAATTGAAATACAGAAATTGAAATACAGAATACGCTTCTGAGATTGAAGTGAATAAGTGTTTTAATTGCTTTACAATAACTATAACAACAGTGGAAAATTAAATAAATATGCAGATCTAGACCTCAATTTCAAAATTAATTAATAAATTTCATCTTAAGACCACAGTTTATTCAGAAATTCTATAAATTTTACTAAATTTTTATAGTTAAATCTGTTATAAGAGACTAACCACATAAGACTTGAAGTTTATATAAAAATTTAACTGTCAAGAATTTCACAAAGGATTAACTATTCTAGGAACGAAATAATTCCATCAGAACTAGTTCCAGAGGATTCCAGTTTCAGACTAAACAAAATGCAGCAACTAGACTTAACTAACTTAAAACAGAAACAATGTGTTCGGAGAGTAAAATAATTTGCGAGCCATTCAAATGTTTTAAGGTAACTATGTATATATACACACAGATCTTATAAGCTAAGCATTTCATCAGTTATAATTTTAAACTTAGTTCTTACTGTGAATTGTTGATTTTTAAAATAATTTGCAGTATAAGAGCCAACGCTCATGTACTCACGACTATGCAGATACATACAAATTTAACAATGCCTATATTAACACACAATGAAATACACTTAAAAAACATTTATACGGATGAGGAACAAATACTAAATAGGAATAACATTACATACTAATACAATATAAATAGAATATTAAAAATAAATACTCATTAATTTTAAGATCAGTGTGTCACATAATAAAGATAGCAGTTTGAATTTAAAGCGCAAAAGATTGATCATTATACGTCGCCGCGCTCCTTAGCGAGCCATTACCGCTCACGAAATGAAACAGCGAGGTAATCCAGCCAAACGGCTATTATATGTCCTATCATTTATATGCAAAACGGTAGTTTAAGCCCGGCAGACTAGTATCGTTCGTCTTTAAGTTATGCAGATTTGTGGGAAATCTCATGGAAATGAAATGTTCCGAGCTACGACAGCTGCGTTAGAAACATTTGTTGTTTCGAGACGAATCATTGATAGTAGGGGTATTAGAAAATGTGTTAGAAATTGCTAACATAATTCTTTCATGTTAGAAATTGTCAATATATTTAGCATTAAAAAAAGTATTTTTTGTCAAAAAAAAAATACTTGGTAAGTTTCTCTCTAACTTATCTAAAGAACTTTGTATGTCCCTAAAATTATTATGGGTATATTTTTTAAGGGAACAATAAAGTCAAGTCCTAAGTTTGACGCTATAAGTAGCTCTAAGCTTAATCCATTCTTGCTAGTCATGGCAATCCTCAAGTTTGATGAGAGTACGTGATGCCATTACCAACTTAATGGAACAGGTTTGGCTACTGACTGACTGTCATACTTCGAATGTTTATGTAAAACACACTTCCACTTCTATATCTATTATCTAGTATAAATAGCATCAACCAGATTCAGAAATACTTATTAAAAAGGAAAAAAACTCTTTTTATTACTAAAAATAAACAGATGTTTTGGAGCTTTAACTTTTAATTATGATTTATTAGATAGAAGTGAAATGACAAGTCTGAAAAAAATTTTTAGAGACTCAGTTTGTTATTACAACTCTTTGAAAGAAAAAAATTGGAACATGAAAAGAACATCAATCGTATTTTTATCTATGCACATTAAAAGTAACGTTTACTGCTGAATCGTTAGGAAGAGGGAAGAAATTTATTCGCTGATTAATTCAAAGCAATCAGTCTTTCCGATAAAACGGTTTCAAAACGCCTTTAGCTGGACAGAACTATGGGTCACTATCAAATATACTATATAAGCTGCTATGTTAATATTAAAAGATTAAAAGAAAATAAAAAATACTCTTATAAACCAGATAATTTGTAAGGAAAAATTAAAAATATATGTAAAATTTATAGTAAAAATACTAAACCTGAACTAGAAGTAATATCCTAATATCCTAACGACACAAAAATTATATTTAAGTAAGGAAAAGAAATTTTAAGACAGTCGTTATTGGACAACCCTTAATTAATAAGGGCTCTTAGAACTCGCGAGATTGAGGAAAAAACTCAATAAAGAATTTCACCAAAACTGTTGGGATCCTTTACAACGGTACAGAGAAAAAAGTTTTTGAGTAATTAAACGTCGCCCCTTCGCGCGATCATTGTTAGAAAAAGTTTTAGGAGAATTTCTCATGGCCGTGATCTGATAAATTAAGTCGCAGAAAGTAAAAGAATATACTTTTCTACGTACTTTTAACATAAGCTTTATAAAACTATATGAATTTCTGTAGGTGCATGTGCTGTAGCAACGTCAACTGTATTAAGAAATAACTATTTTTTAAATTATATTTAACAAGGCGTATTTTAGTACTTGGTTATTTATCTGTTCCTTCAGTATTTTCAATTAGCAAGAAGAAAAACAATCATTTCTATAAAGAGAGAAATCAACGATACCTTCATTCTACTTTCCGATAGCTAGTTATTGTTTTACTAACCGTCTTTCTTTGACCCTATTGAAATGGAAAATATGCAGACAATATGCAACCTAAATACGTTGTAGTAAAGATGTATATGTATAAACTATTTGATTATATTACTGTTGTTATTTACCTCCATCTTCGGGTATATTCAGCAGCTTCTTCGCCCCCGGGCTCGGTCCTCGCACCGCTGACAGCGCCCTCTGCAGTGTCTCACTCATCTGTTTGCCACTGACACAATTACAACACAACACATACACACACATAAACACTATAACTCTCCGCCAACTGATATCCTGTTTGCCCATTTCCCTGTACACCTTTGACATGTTCCTTAACAGTCCCATGTAGCTACATCTTAGTAGAACAGCGCCATCTGTAAAAGAGAATTTTCATTATTCATTTGATATATCAAAATATTTTACTACATACATTTATATATAATAATATGTTTATCAAGTCTAGACACCAATGTTTTTTATACATTTATAACGTCTGAGTGATTTTTTTCCTCTTGAACAGTTTCTATAATGAGGAACGATTCTGCAGTACAGAACTACGTCTAAAGCTTGTATTATTTAAAATATTTTTATAACAAGATGTTTTCTAATAATTGTACCTGCAACGAGATTTATAAAAACACTTAACATCCTATTCTATGAAGAACGGATGTGGGCGTTTGTTTCGCTTGAACTAAAACTATTGCACCGATTTATATTAAAATTAATATTTGTATAACATTTAATAAATAAAGACCGTTCTTTATATAGGTATACTCTAAAATGACGCGAGACGCTAAACGAAACATACTAAGGATGGAATCGATTCCGATTCCATTTTCAAAAATGATTCCAATTTTGAATAAAGGCTTTTTTAAAATAAATAAAACTTGATCGAAACATACACTTGTACTAGGGATGGAACGCAGTGGAATTGATTCCGATTCCATTTTCAAAAATCATTCTCGGAATTCAAATATTGATTTTTTTTTTTTAATAAATAAAACTATGTATGTAGTTTAACAAGGTCGAATGGTACAATAAATGCAAGTTTATATATATATATATGGTTGTTTAAATATGTATCGATATATAAATAAATAATCTTACGATTATAAAAAATAAATATTTTGTATTATTTGATTTTATCTATGAATTGTAGGTGATTAAATATTTATGATTATAAATGGATCTATGTCAAGATGTTCTCATGTGTAAATTATTGGAACTGCTCATCGTGTTAGGAAATATCATAATGTGTTAAAATATTATATTTGTTATAGTCATATATAAAAACTGTTCATTGTTTTAATATTTTTCATGTCCGCTCACAGGATTTATCATTCCTATAACCATAAAAGAATTAATACATTGATTTTTAAATGTTTATTCATATAAATGAATCATAATTGAACCATTTCCTCATTTTAATATAAATCAGATGTCACCTAGTATTACTAGTACTTTTATAGATAACATAAGTGTTAAGTGAATATTCTGTTAAATTTGTATATTATTACATATACATAGATGATAAGGCAAAATATAAATAAAAACATTGTCACATATTTAACTAAGTTTATTTGACGGTATAAAATTATATAGAATAGCTTAAATTTGAAAAGAAAATCGAAAAAACAAAACAAATTTGCATAATAAGAAACTTAGAAAATACCAATTTTGAAATCAAAACACTATTTTATTTAACACAATGTGTATAATCAAAGTTCCATCTATATTTTATCTTAAATTCTATCTGACAGTAGCGATTACTAATCATGAGAGATATGAAGACGGTTTTAAGAAAACGGTATGTTCCGTTAGAGTCATTTTTATTGTGATTATAATCTGATCTTGAAATGTAAGAATTCCACAGACACTATTACAAACTGTACTATATAATATTCATTCTCATACTAATATATATGTAACATAATATAAATTGACAAACTGACTATTATCGTGAAGATAGTAAAATATCAGATAATTTAACTAATTATATTGCACATATAATTTAAAAATAAATCCAGAAAGAGCAACAAAATTTAACACAAATCCCCAAAAAATGCTGGCAAGAATATTAGTTACTATTGAATCAGAGACACTGAGACTTAACCTATAAAGTTTAAAACAAAACATTGTACAAACCGTTGTAATGATCACACACACAGACTCCGTTATCACGTGAACATCACTATAAATAACTAATTAATAAACATTAAACAACACCATTATACCGTATGGCTGCACAGAACTAAACCAACTTAAACTAAACGCATTCTATCAACCTATAAAAATTTGACCGCCAATAAACGTAAAGAAACTCGGACTTAAATGTTTTACTTGCTATTGCGTTCAGGTAACTGGAAGACATAGAAAAATAGATCTTATTGCAATCAATTTAAGGTATACAAATAATTTATATGATTGTTATATTAATGGTAAGGTGGCGCGAAGGAACGCATCTTTTGTATTCAGTTTCTACCTGAGTCTTGTCCCTTTTTTGTATAGCCACATGGTCCTTATTATTAAATTTCTGCGTCTTTATTTCTTGATGCATAAAGTTGAATATTGTTTGAACTGTCACTTTATATGTATAATAGTGGGCGATTGCAAGCGCTTTGCTTTTTCTGTAATAGGAAAGAGCTCAATCAGGAGATACGGGTTTGAAATGTACATACATTCGTTTCTAAAGAATAAAAGATACGGTTTCTACGAAATTTACAAACTATGACTAAGAAACCATTCATACGTGCAATAATAATTATATAGATTTTAACATACGTAGCTCGGTTTCAATTCTGTCAACATGCTTTCAAATCTGTATAATTTTATGCATGTCCTCAATTAAGCTTATGATGACTTCTCATATAACAATTTTTGTGCATAAAACCAAACCAATATAATTAGAAAATTCACTCCTAAACTAATTAAGTACATATTAATATACCCATTGCCACATGACGTTCTAATAATTGATACAAGATAAATAAAACAAAGTGTATACGATCATCTAACAATAAATTATTAAGGCATTATACTATGTATTATAATATGTTGTCGCACACTGTAACTACAAAGTGGATTAGTTGGTAGCCTATTAAAGTTAGCCGTCAGGAAGCCGAGGTAACAGATCTGTAGTCTTTGTCGTGACATCGATACACGTGTTGTAATTAAAGCCAAATAAATGCATTATACATCACCTTTAAACAGATGAACATCGAATGAAATTATTATATCAAATCTAAGAATAAAATTAACGCTTTTAATTAGGAACAAATATATTGGCATATATTTTCAAATTCAATGCAACCGTTTTAAACTGTTGTATCTGACGTGATACATTTAATTACGAAAAAGATATGTATTTTTTACTTTTATTTCAACTTAAATACTGTACTTAAATTCAAATAGTTTTCTACATATTAATTTTTCATTTATTACGTCAGTAATATAATAAAAACAGAATATTCTATTGCAGTCAATTCAATTCCTCTTAAACGTACTCGACTTCATATCTCGTATGATATACGCATATGTTGATGCATTATTATTCTGTTAGGATAAACTTCTTGATGTTTGAAGAACATTCTATAGTAGAATATTCAATGTATTACGATCTTTTTAAACGGCAGGTGGATATGCAATTCAGGCGAAATACAGAAAGGAAGTTCAGACATCGCCAAAATCCTTTTTTTTTATCGATCGTATCGGGACTTACTTTTTGTTTTATACATATATATAAGTATAGCACTCCCAAAAGCATAACAAGAGAATGATTCTCGATTTAGCCTATTTTTTTTAAACGAAGACAATACAAGAAACCTTAGTCAACGTTAAGCCTCATTAACAATTAACTGCCTTAATTAATTAGAAATCAGGCTTAAAAAAATATATGGGGCAAAGAATAAAAAATATGTTCCTTGAGAAGTTTAATTAACTTTAAGTGGTTTCTTAAGCTTCTATGGTCATTATGAAACAGAAATATCTTTTAATAAAACAAAAGAAAGTAACATTATATTGTGATACTAAAGTTTTCGTTTTCCATATATGTATTTTTTTAACTTCTATCGTTAGTAGGCAATAAATCTAAATTTTTCCTAAGTATAGCAATTTGTTCCCCGCGCTGCATATTTATGAGGTCGTCGCAAGCCCATCGACCTCAATAATCTGCTACAGTTTATGCTTGTCTCTTATCAACCAATTATAAGCTTGTAACTTAATAAGCTAAATGGATCAAAGTTCTTCAACTGACCTACAGCAATAACAATAAAAATAACGATATTAATTATTATAATTACGTCATCAGTACTCTTAAGCATTACAATATGTATGTTTGTATGTAAAATTAAATATAAAATTTATTTCAATAGCCAAGAAGAGAATATGAGGAAAAATCAACTTCTTTATATTTTATACAGTAAAGAAACTTCATGGTAACCCTTGTCAATTTTATTTATATTTGTAATAGTTTATTTATTACGCGTTAATAATAGAAAAGTATTCAAACTGTGTAGAAGTATCTTTGATTTAGAAATGAATTTTTCGTAACGTTACATTGTACGACAAGAATAAGATATTGTAAATGCAAAAAATACTTATATGGAAATGTTGTACGTATAAAATTTAAAAGAAAGCCATGTATGTTTGATAAATAGTTTATCTAAATGTGTATCTATTAATCAGTAGGCGTAATATTATTTTGAGCTATTCGAACAGGATTCAAACACGTAGTAACTCAAAAATGGGGAGTACAAAAAGCACTAGTTTGGTAATAATTTCAAACACTCACAACATTCATCTGTACTGCCGTGATCGTGGTTATTGCAAAGTAGTCAAAATCTTGTAAAGCTATATTTAAATTAACAAAGATGTTCCAGTTGTATTTGAATTACAATATTCCGAAGATTACAGGTTCGAATCCAGCGCGTTTATTTTACATTATTCACTATTCAACACTGTATATGTAAATATATATATTTATATGAATCCAAATTCTTTAAAGTAATATTATTTAAATGCTAATTATTAACTAAACGACTTAATGTATAATTCTATAAATATCCCATCATAATGAATAGATGCGACATTTTATAATATTTAATATAAAGTATTATTTGACAAACTACACCGGACCTTCATCTTAAATCAGTCTCACGTGTGTCTCACTCTATGATCATATCAAGTGATTTGTCTATTGATATGACAAGCTTGTCCTAATCTTGAGGGTGTTAAGGGTTCAGAACTCAGATATCCCTTTATGTTAAATTTATATAAATGGTCCGCTTCAATCGTTTTCCGTGTTCATTGATAGCCAATAATCTGTCAAATCACTTACTGTCCCTTACTATATCACACTTTGAGTATCGATATGACCCTTTGACATTTGTACTATATTAAAAAAAATTATAAACATTATGCAAAATAAAACCATTAATTTGCATACAACATCGATATTCAATTAGGAGTAGAAGTAATTGTTGGTGCAAATGAGGTCTCGATTATGCAAATCGATTTCTAATTAGCATAATTAAATACACAGAAGCATTGTACTATGGGTAAGCAATACTCTCCTAATTGTCTGAATTATAACTTCAAAGATCACGTCTTTGAGGTGTGTTTATAAATTAAATCGAATATAATTGTCTTAGACAAAATAGACAAACATTTGAAAGTAATATGATTTTTCACTTGAATATTATTAATGGGTCATATCTTCAATACTTTTCCTTACCTACATAAAATTTTCGAAACAATTAATTTAAAAAGTTTTTTTAATATGAATAATCTGCGATATAAGTCGAGGAAATAAAAATTCGTCACATTACCTTTATCCGGTGACCGTTAATAAATATTCAACGAGGGACCATAGCCTGAATCTTGTGGTAGAATTAATTATAATTTGAACACAAAATAAAACATACATACATAATAAAATATAACTACATAT